CCCAAAACACCAAAACCACCACCACCAAAAGAAAAAAAAAGGAGAAGTGTAACTTTTGGGTAATGACTTGTACAGATTTTTCCCATGCTTGTCTTCTTTGAAGCTGCAATTATGGATTGATCAGTTTCGTAGTTCATCAAATTTAGTATTGGATTGGTTAGACACGGGGATGGCAACAGGACGGTGGACCCCTGACCCCACTCCACAGATGTCCTTTCCGCCCACCCTCCGGGAATCACACTTTTTTCAAGCACACAGCATTAAACTACACCAATAGCCCGCAGCAACAAGCGAAGATCACTGCAGTGCTCAAAACCCAAAAGTTACATTTATACCTACTATTAGTGCCTTTGCCTCCTTTTCATCTCTCTGGGGCTTGATTTTCACTGAAAAAATGGTTGCTGATGAAGATTCTTTGCCTCTTCATTTTGCTGGGCCTTGATTTTCACTCTGAAAATTGGTTGCTAATGAAGATTGGGACGAGGGGATGGTGATGATGGATGAGTCCTCAAGTCTTGAGGCTAAAGATCTAAACGAGAGGGAGTTTGAATCATTGAGATGTGTGAGAGGGAGGAGAGGCGGCAGAGAGTAAGAGGGAGAAGCGGCACGGAGAGTGAAATTGTGAGAGGGAGTTGCAGCCAAGAAAATAAAAAGGAGGAAGAATAGACTAGAACATCAGGTCAAGAGTTTTAATTTGACTAAAACTAATTTATAATGATATTTATTTATATTAATTATATCATGTGGGGGATGGGAGGGTCCCCGCACCGCTGTTGCCATCCCTACTTAGACATATCTTGAAAGATCACCTGGCAGTTGTGCAATTGATGCATTGACTCTTGCTATTCAGTTTCTTTCGAGATCAAGCTTATTTGAAGCAAGCTAAAGCATTATTTTTCATTTTCATCTGTCTAATTGTATTTCCTCTTTAGCAAAATATTCTTTAAGATTTCAGTGCCAAATTAATGCCTTTCAGGGAAATAGTTACAGGTTTTTACAAGCCTTTCTATATTTTACCTTGTGCCAGTAGTTGGTGATGAGTGTCGTCCGTCTTTGTTCCTTTAACAAGGACTTTTTTTGAAGTAATGAGTAAGATAAAAATATTTATAGGTAGCACAAAAATGTTCAGTGGATTCAACTGTAGTGTCTTCTTGTAATAGAAATATATAAATATTTGGCAATGTTTCAAATCAAGAGAAACGATTGTGATATGGACAATCAGTTGTGTAGAGGTGTCAAAAAATTGGGAAAATCTTTGGGGAAATACTTATTGGAGTATCCAGTGGCACCAGAAAATCCAAAATATTTCAGAATCGCAGTTTTGAGTGATTAGATATCTTCAAGTTCTCCTCCATCTGACAAAGAACAAAAGTTTGAAAATCCATTTTGATTTCTTTTTCCTCACGTTTTAAGTTACTAGGCATGCTATTCTGGAGTTATAGGATTAATTTTTCTAGATTGGCTTCTTTCAGTTACTTTTTTGCTACTTTAACAAAATTGCTACTTCCAGCTTCAAAGGAACGATTGGATAGAAAGGTTTTTTGGCGGAAACCTGGTTGCTGAAAAGCTGGATAGCTTGTTAGTCCTCGTATTTGGACACCTTAAATCCTCGTATGAAAATGGCCGTTTGGAGCAAGTAAGTTTTCTGTTAGGCTCGCTTTATTAGGTGTTGTCTGTATGGTTTTCTTGATTTTTCAATGTTTGCCAAATGGTTTAGGTTTTTGACACACTCCTCCAGTCATTTCACAAAACAGTCTTGACAGCATACAAATCAAAATTTGCCCAGGTATTTTTCTTCTGTTAGTCATATTGGTGAAGAATTTCAACCATAGCTTGAGTATCTTTTTTTTGTTCATATTTATTCTTTTTATTCTACTTTCCCAGTTTGGTTATGAATGTTCTCAGCTTTGTTGAATAAGATTTTCAGCCATTTGTTACCATATGCCCACTAAACCGTATCATATTTTGCAGTTTGTGATGTTCTATGCGTGTTCGTTAGATCCTGATAATTGCGGAACAAACTTTGCAGTTACCCTTGTAAATATATTTGAGGGCAGTTCTTACACGGAATGGAGGTAGAATTAATAGTTTGTTCTTTGTATTCTTTTGTAATATGAATATGTTCATGGTTCGAGTTGGAATCTGTGAAATACACTTTCATGTGGAGGAAGTCAGTGCATTTGTTTAATTTTATATTGATATGATCTGTCAATAATTTTCTTTTTGGGACATTCCCTAGCAATTTCAGTTTGGTTTATTTATTTGTCTACACGTTACTTGTGAAGGTTCTGAAAACTTTTCCTTGATTTTATTGCAGAATGAGCGCTGTTGCGTATCTTGCCAGTTACTTGTCTCGTGCAAAGTTTGTCTCTGCCTCTTTTGTTATCAGTGTCTTGGAAAGGTTGTTAAAACAGCTACATGCTCGTCAAATAATTTCTAGCATTGGATGCACTTGTTTGCCGTTCTTTTCAATTACTTTTTCAAGAAGGACGATCATAATAGGAAAGATTTACAAGCTATTTTGTTCTTTTAGTTTTTATTATATATATTCTTTTTGTGTTGTTTCAGACTTGTAAATTGGTGTTCTGATTACTGCAAGAATCATCATGGTGACAGCAATCCCAAAGCTCATCAAGTTTTTTATGCTGGTTGTCAGGTTTGTAGTGTTGAGCTTCCAGAATTAAAGAGTAATTACTGCCAATGTTTCTTGGTGTCTCATGGTTTCAGAAAGGGACTTAGGATGTTATTAAGTGAAGAATCTTTCAGAATTCTTGGAGAACAAAATGACAATGGAGCTTTGATAATTTGATATGTTGAGTCACTAGTTGGCATTCATAGGTGACCTAACAATATAAATAAATATCTTAGTCTAGAGTCCAAAATTTTCTTTTCACATCCATGCAATTTTTTTGGGTATAATTTTCTGCTTGTGATTGAGTACAAGGGGAAAGGACTTCCATTATGCTTATACATCATGTTCTGATTGGCAATGTAGGATCATATGAGTTCAATGTTATTGTTTATACCAACTTTGAAGCATGGGGTAAAACAAAAAAAAAAGAAGCTCCAAGCATCACCTATGACATGGTCTGGTTATGGGCCCATTTTGCTTTTACTTAATTAATGCATTTATCATCTTTAAAGAAACAAAGTTGATAGTGTGCTTTTCTGGCTTTCATTTTAATTGGGTAGAGTTCTATCTGTTCACATCACTGATGGTACTGCAGGCCATTATGTATGTCCTTTGCTTCCGTATGAGATCAATAGTGGCTATCCCTCGACTCAGATCACAACTATTTCTTCTGCGGATAGATGATATTTTGAGGCATCCGCTTAACCCATTGAAGGTGAAACGCTTGAATTTAACTTTCAACAAAGACTCGTACTATTTATGAATTTCATTGGCTCTCTCTACCCCCTCCCATGTTTTGTTTGTCAGCTCCAACATCATTGATTCGTTGTAGTAAATTATCAGTCCTCGGCTACCCTTTGTTAACAGGTTTGTCTGCCATCAATAGTTGAAGAGTTTCTTCGGGTGGCCAAATCGTCTCATTTGTTTAATGTGCCTCAGAACTTTGTTTCTGATGGCCTACTGGAATCAGAACTTTCGATGACCTTTGGTGGTTTAGAAAGGCTCGACATGTTTTTCCCATTTGATCCATGTTTGCTGAAGAAATCTGATAGGTTTGTCTTTCTTTTATTGATACTTCGAAGTTCCACCTATATCATTTGTTAGTTTTATGACTACAAATTATTTGTTCATGTATTGTATGCTTTTCTTAGAAAGATATCCTATATTACATTAAAATATTCGATTCCTCAAACGTTAACTGTTCTTGCTGCCGCCTCATTTTATTGAAGATTTATCCGGCCAAACTTTGTGTACTGGTCGATGGTCAGAAGTACTTACGAAGAAGAAGATGATGATGATGATGATGATGACGATGAAGAAGGGAACAGTGATGAAGATGTTGCTGAAGTTAGCAATGCTAGTAATCGGGTGAGAATGGTTGATGATGTTGGTAGGAGTATTGATGAGGAAGATTCTGATATTGATGAAGATTTTGAGTATTCTCTAAACAGAATGTCTATAACGCCTAAAAATCCAACCGCCTTTTGGTTAGGAGGTAAATTAAGGGACAGTGTGCAGATGCCCTCCAGAATCAGACCGTCTACAAGTCCAGAGTCCTTGTGATACCCTGTTTTGCTTGCTCAAGAATCTTGAGGTCATAATAGCGGAAGAATACAATGATATCAATTTTGCTAGAGGCGTGACTGCGCTTCACTTGGCCAGCCGGGATCCGCCTTTTGTTGCTGTATACATCCTTGTACCCACCACCGCCCAAGGGATCAGCCAGTGTGGGAACATGTGGCTGGCTTACTGAGGTTTCTGTAGCCATTACAGAAATTGATTGTAATTTAGCGGTCTATTTACTAGTATAAGAAATTGATTGTAATGTCGTGAAATGTACTTGGAAAAAAATCACCATTAATTAATTAATCGTAATATCGGCCGTCGGCCAAAAATTTACGACTTTTAAGGCAATAGGTTGGGCGGGGTATTTCATTCTCAGTTTACGCTGGTCTGGCAATGAAATTCCTTTTTGGCTTGAAGAATGCAATCTTGTGGCGAAAATGAAGGCCTAGTTTGGGATTGCGATTTTTTGTCGAAAAATTACGTCATTTTTCTTGATCACATTTTACTATTATTTTTTTCCCTTATATACAACAAATCGATACAGTAATTTTTTCATGAAAAATTATGAAAAATACAATCTAAACACAACCGAAATTTTCCTTCTGAACTAAGAAACTCTGAAGCATGGTAAACGTACGGATGCACCGTGCGGGAAGATTTTGCTTTGTTTTTCTTTTCACCGTTCCTGAGTGAGAGTTAGAAATCATCCTTCATGGCAACAGAGACCTGAAAAGCTGGTGATAGAGATAATCGGTGGACTCCTGACAATATATGATTTGGTCGGTAATGCACAACAAAGACATGTAAAAGTAGTGTTTTTATAACACATCTGCCTGAAAAATTACAAGGAAGCTGCTTGTTTGACGTATTTCTAACCTCGCATATCATGCGATATAAAGTCATTTTATGACAATATGTGATTCTGGCGCTCAAAAAAAGCAAAAAGGAAACAAAACAAAAAAAAAAGTGATTTTGGCTACTTTGCTATGAAAGGAAGAGTATCGAGGAACCATATCCACGTCAACCGCCTGGTAATGGCTGTAACACACCATATACAATGAACATTTGAGTATTTTAGCATCAGGGACCATGACCAAATCTACCGCCTGGTAAGGGCAGCAACACCATTTATAACCAAGAGTGACCATTCAATTTGCTTCGTTCTCCAGTAATATACGATAGTATTTGCAAAGGATTCAGCTATAGGATCTACAACTAACCTGTAAAAGCAACAGAATATCAACTTGGCCTGCTGGGGGCTTCGACCATGCAAAATTTTTTTTTGGGGTGTAAAGTGGGAGGTCTTGCACTCAGAACTCCCTCCTCATACCACCCGACCCCATCCCTCCCCTGGATTATGTATGCAAGGTACCTGTACAATTACAGAAGCATAAATTCTATATGTGATTCGGGTTCTTTTTGCAACTCCTCGGAAGTCCCTTTCTTCTTTTGACAGACGATTTATAATCTCCTTCCCAGCTCTGACTTGAATTATCACTGCCGCCTGAACGCAACACATGCCAGTTAGCACAATAAACCAAAGAATAGACATCAAGAGGACAACCGGAGCCTAAATGCCTTCAACCTCAATTTATGGTCAATCCTGATTGTTATAATTCGTTTAAAACAGTAACCTTACTTAGGCAAGTTTTTTCCTTTGGAAAAAAAGTCAAAAGAGTCATAATCCAAAATTCAGTTCTCCTTAAGCCAATAATTCCTTCTCTATTCTACTAAAACCTAATGAAATTTGGGTAAAGACATCAACTTATGGGCTCATTCTCTCACGCTGGACTTCCTGCATGCCTCTTCCAGCGCTCAGACTACCAATGTTAGGCAAAACAAGCCCTCCACAATTTGTGTGCTCCCAGAAACCTTCATTAAGTTAAATCTCCATAAATTTTTTACAAAAATCTACTGTAAATTTACTTTGCACAAGAAGAGCTATTTTCCGTGTTTGCAGATGTGCTATAGAAAGTTTTTTTCTCTGTGAATCACATATTTATTAATTATCAGTTTTTGTAACCTCCACAACAAAAATCATGGCCTCGCCAAATTTAATAAATCATGGTAGTGCGCTCTTCACAGTCTATCCTGTAAAATTCACAATTACTCCATAAGCACAACAGTACAACTATATATATGATCAGGAACTACGGATTTACTAGGGAATTTGTCAAGACTTACTTTCGGGGCTTTCCTTGGATGATCTGTCTTTGTTCTCCAAATCCTTGGTGCAATTGTATCCAGATCGCTTAGTAGATATTGTCACTACTCCATCTTCCACCTTCTCTTCAGGCACGCTGCAGCTTCCATTGAAAGGCTTCATATAACAAAACCTATAAAAGTGGTTCCATGATACAAGAAACAAGTCACTTGAATGCATTGCATTCTTTCATACATTACCTCCTCTATCTCCATTCAAATCTATATTAACAGTTATGCGAACTGAGCATGAAGAAGCTTTGGATTATGAATGCTAGAAACAAAGTACCATTTAAGGCTTTTGTTCTATCACATTCAGGTATATTGATATGTCACAAGCCCAATAATCATCTGAAAATAATCCAACAGACGCCTCTAGACTAGAGTGCAAAAACTGATGTTAATTCCAAATGTGCCAGAAGCATAAGTACCAGTCAGGGGGCAATGTCTTGCTATTGAACCCAGCACTTAACCTTCTCCACTTTCTGCATTTGTCACATTGCACCCATTCGTGATCAGGTTTGTGCAGGGGACCACCCTTTTCCTGTAAAAAGGAACATAACCCTTTTCAAAACAGGCAATATGGGTAAGAAAATACATTCATGCACCTGGATCACATGGAGAGAAGCTTTGATTGATTGAACTATGTTCATGAGAACTTGAATGTTCTAAATGGGCAGCTAGATTGCTTATTAAAGAACATGAGCAATCACTTTTTCCTTTTTGAAAAGGAAAAGAGCTTCATGTGTATGAAATATATTCTCATATCAGTTATCAATGGAAAATATAAATTTTTAGAGATGTCTACATAATGAAGCCAAGAAAAAATACAGCTACAATGTCCAGTTAAGATTACCAGTCGGTGTCTGACAGTCAAACTAAAGCAGGTATTTTACTGAAAAAGGAAAGATTAAAAAGGAAATTAACTAAAAAAAAATAAAAGGCAAGCAAAAAGATAAAAATTGCAATCATTTCTCACTGTGTCACAAACTAACTCTCTCTCTCTCTCTCACACACACACATGCACAGGTTATCTGTGAAAAAATCTACCCTCATATCAAAACTTTTACTATGAAATTCAGAATTTTAAAAGTTAATTGGCTCCTCAAAGCAACTATAAGTGTTTAAAGTTTCATTCTCCTCCGACAACTTAGTATCTTTTACAAAAGTATTAATGCCTTGAGAGAGCATAAATTAGTCCATCTGTCATTTATTTTGCAATAACTAGGTCATGCACTAGAACCTTCCAGTGAACATACATACATGCAACTTACTTTATGTCTGTCCCTATTTATCACTCAACAAAAGCACCATCTGAGTTGTAAACAACATGCATTGCATCCAAAGGATCAGCTAATAAGTCATGAGTCACGACATTACCACTTGCAGTTTATTGACATATTTGTCCAAGTAGTCATCTGTTTTTATAGCCAACCATTTCTCCAGTTCTGCATAAGCTTCACAGTCCTGGAATCCTTGCTTGTTATTGTGCACCCAAATATGACCATTATCATCCTTCTGCATCAAGGAAGTAGATGGGTCATAGAATAAATAAACCATTTCGTTGTATATGTTATGAGATTTGGCTCAGAGAATATGCAGAGCTAGCTGAGGGACAAATGCTTTTGACCAGGCTCCCATTTGTTGGACAGAAAATACTCCCACGAAGACACAATTCAATTACTGTTGAATCAAGCACCAAAACATTGCCATGCAGAATATTTTCCTAAGAGGGCCATTTTTGGGAAAACTGAAAAACAATAGCAGTTCACCAATGCAGTCAAAGACATTTAAGTCAGTTGCAGTACCCGGAAGTTTTGTTTCTAATTTTGCCAGCAGACCACCTAGCATTCTCGCTCATATATCACAGGAAACTATTGGGAAGATAGAGTTTGTTGATATCAAAAAATTGTGTTTCCAGAAAAAGAAACCTCTTCAACTGTTGGCCATTCCAAACTTCAGCATACAGTGCCTAATTTCACCTTACATAAGGAAGACTCTGCCATATCCCACTTGTTAACTTGATACGACCATTGAACACTAAGACCTTAAACAAACAGGTTTGATCACAAACAGGAATATAAAGAAAGCAAAAAGTATTTAACTTCACAAAAATATTCTTTACAATATAAATTAAATAAGCCAATAAAATAGTCTGTTGGAGGCTTAGAGCACAACCAGCTCAGCAATATAGAAAAGAGATGTCCTTGACACAAGCAAAAGGCTTCTTCTCTTCTATTAGCTGCTAACACACAACCCCCAAACAATTTCTGCACTCTACCAATCCATGTCTCAGTTGTAACTAGCCACATCATAAAGAGCTTATGGAATTAGAGTAACCAATTTGCATTTCTTTATACCTTCATCTGTTCCTTTCCAGCCAGTAATCACCACCACAGGCATCAAAATAATTGCAAAGACAACTGCTTGTCTATCTATTCATGTTTTTGACATGAACATTGTTAGAGCCTACATAACAGAAAAATTACTAACATGGTACATATACTTATTTCTATTGGGAAGGACAAGCTCAAGGAAAATAAATTTTCAGATATCAGGCACAGGATCTACTACATCAATTTGGATGAGAAATAAACACAGCCACATATGCTAAAACACCGGAGTTTTAAGTATAAAGTGTTTGTAAAGGAAAATTTGTTGGTGTACAAAAGAGTATGGTAAATTAACTCATTATGGACATGTCAATTACTGCTGCTTTGAAACCATTTCATAAGAAACATTGCCTTGGGATTCTAGGTGTGCGCACATAAATATCAGCAAGTATCCAGGCTTTTAGAACTCTTCAAGTATTTATCTCACTATATTTCTCCCTTTTCGTTTTGAAATTGGAGGATGATCCTACTTGAACTCATAAAATTGACCAGTATAAGTATCTATACCAAGAAGGATGCATGAAAGCACCAAAGCCTAGTTAGAGCTTGCAGCTCCTTCTAGGATGCGCAAGAGTGATTGACTTCTCTCACTAGTAGGACAAAAACCAAGGTATATCTACCGCTTTATCTCCAGGAAAAACAAACCCAAAAAAAGAAGCTGCTATCAAGAATATTCCCGCCCCCCAAAAAAAAGGAGTACAGAAAAACCCAATCTCATGTCCAAGCCTTACAAAAGAGCCACCGACATATTCTAATTCTACCAACTAACAATACTTAAGGATGATTTGCAGTGACTGAAAAAGGCCAATGCCCTTAGTATTCATCTCTGCAGGAAAGTAATCCAAAAATCAGTTCCAAAAACACACACATGCTGACAAATTGAAAACATAAGAATGGAATCTGTACCATTAAATCAGTCAGATCGACAACCCCAATAATGCCCCGACCAGCATCGCCATTATGAATCATGCTACCAACTCTTTTGTAAGCCTGTAAGATAAAGAACCAAAACAAATGGAAAGATCAAGACAAGGCTGATCAAATGCTTAAAAAGAATTCTAAGGGAAAAAAGCATATGTTTGAAAAGGATAATTTTGAAAAGCAAGCTTCCAGATGGGAAAAGGGTCTGATCTACGATAATTATCTCATGCATTAAAGTTTCAAAACCAGGAAGGCTCAAAATTTGTTTGGTAGCCATCAAACTGGAAATTGAACAATCTCAGTTAACCATTTCTAAGAACTAAGTACCATTTAAAAAAGTGCATAGAAACTAGATGTAGTTAATAAGTCAACACACTGATGCTAATCCACCAGCAAAGTTTATACATTAGTGTTCAGACTAATAATTCCAGGCACTTCACTCAAAGAAAGTGTTAAAATCACAGTCACATACATCAAAAGGTTGACATCCAGTAAACACTCCCCCCAAAAAAAAAAATGGTCCAGATCCAGGACAAAGATAATCTCCCTCTACCCCCTATTTTAAAGCTATTGACTCAAAAACTAAAACCTATTTACCATGGACATGCTAATATTTCAAGCTTGGCGCTTTTGGAGGATAAAAAGACCCAGAAGGCGGTAAAGTAATTCCGTCATCAAGTTCTTGTCATTCAACCATAGTGTTCTATTTCAAGTCATTCCTTCAAGTTTAAGATGTTATGTAAGACAGAATACAGCAAGTTAGCCACTAACTAGTTTTAGGAGCATTTTTGTAACCACACAGAGAACCAAAAATGAGATGAAGGATTAAAAATAGTAAAGGAGAAATAACTTAAAAGCACTATTAATTTCTTCCATCCAGTCCATAGACACCCCCGTCCCAGAAGGCCCCTTTCTGCTCCTATCAAATTGAAAAGACAAATTTTTTGGAAATGATCACCGAAGAATTATTAATGTTAAGTTTCTGTAGGATTCTGCATAGACTTTCATCCAGCCAGCAGTTCTCTAACAATGCCATATCAATCAGTTGGAGTTCTATAGATATTAAGTGTAGCAAATCCTGATATAGCTCTGTATCATTGTTCTCCAGACATTTTGGGCAATTCTTCCATCCACTAAACTTTGCCAAATTAAGGAGTCAAACAATCGCAAAAAACAAGCCTCCATGATGACATGGGAGCTCTTCTACTTAGAAAGAGTCAATAGTCTTGAATAAGTCTTGACAAAGGGAAGAAATTATCATCTGCATACAGATACAAACTGCACTCCAGTGCTATTTATAGCATGAATTATACAACTAGAAATGATCCTTATGTGGTCAATTATATCTTAGAAGCTAACAGCAATCTGCAACCCATCACCCTACAAGGATGTTTAATGATAGAAACTTCAAACTCCTACATGACCAATATTGTCTAAGATCAAGTAAAAGGATGGCCAGTGAATGTTTGTCAACTCAATGTCTTGCAAGACTAAGCTTACTCTATAAATATAAAAATAAGAAACCAACCTCAATCAGACGCCCATGCCAATACAAGAAAATTCCACAATTTGCCTGCTCCCATTCCAGTTGACAGCGGCCAAGAATCAGCCGAACTGGTTTTCCCATAATAACACCCTCATTTACTACAGTTTTATGCAGTGACTTGGCTAAAGGACGAGTTCTAATCTATTAAAAGAATCAAATTACAGAAATTAATATCCTAAAGCAGCATGAAAAAAGCACTTAATGACAAATCAAGTAACTCTATAAATAAAGTTACTACAAGTGCTCCTTGGACATAGATCTTCATTCGTGGATCAAAGAAGATGACTTCCAGATAAGATTTTAGAGAATAATCCAAAGGCACCTGAAGCACAAGGAAACCACAAACTTTGTTAACAAAATTGGTTAATGCCACACAAGAAACATAAAGAATATGCCTTACTGTTTCAGACATTTGGCCTGGGCGAGATCTGACACGTTTAGAATGAATAAGGATGTCACCTTGATGGAATGAACTCCCGCCAATCATTCCAGTTTCCAAACACAAGCTATAATCTGATCCCCACTGATCTAAATTCCAAATGTATATTTGTGTTCCAGTACCTCTTTCACTAAAGAGACCAGCCTTTTCTCCTATTAGATACTTATTAAATGGAGAAAACTCTCTAATTGCTTTCAGATTGTTTTTTGCAGAAGCCTCATTTTGGACATTGGAATCAATTTCCATAAATTGACCGACTCTGTGGTAGCTGACAATGGGGATCTCCAAATTCTATGACACAAGACAGAGTGATATATCAGCGTTAAACTCCAAGATCACAACAAAAAACCAACCAAGTAAACCATGATATAATCAACTGCATACATCCTTTCCATCATTTAGTGACTGGGATAGAAAAGCAACCGAACGAGAGCTCGCAGCCTGAGTAAGAACCAAAGCATCCTTCCCAATTCTCATTGCCCCAGTCTGGACCAAAGTGAAAAAATGTATTCCATGTCCAATAAGGAAAAGTTAAGAATCAGAACAAGCATGCAACACTGATTCTAGACAGAAGATATTTGAAATATGACAGCTGTTCATTAGCTTCAGAGGATATATACAACATGTAAAGCTACGAGACATCAGGATAGAAAAAAAGATGAATACTACCAGCATATCAGTTTCATCAAAGGAAAGGAGAATATATTCAAATGTTAAAACTTTGGCAACCCATGTTGTGGAAACAAAAACTGTATTTCTTCTACAAGCAGATCTGTTTTTCTTTCTTTTTCTGAAAATTAGTTTACAAGCTTGAGCTACATAAGTTCATTACCAGCATTAGTCTTGCAAATAAATGAGTTGATATTTCCATGTTAGAACAAGCTCATTCGCCAGATAAGAAGTCAAAAGATCATGTTTATTTGGAAAGGGAAAGAAAATGTTGGATGCTTCCATTGTTTACACAAATAAATTTAGAATGAGAACCTCAGAGAGAGAGAGAGAGACTGCAGGCGATAAGCCTAAGAAACTTGACACAGCTTGAGAAGTAATCCTTCAAATGCGAAGCCTCCAACTTAGTAAAGAACAAAGAGGCAGAAAGTAGATACAATGTAATAAACAGAGGTTGGCAAAAGAACACCTCACATTTTCTATATATATATATAGAGAGAGACACATACACACCCTAAAAAGCATTACATTAGTGAAAAAAAAAAAAGTATATGACAATTTGTAATTAATTCAACCCAAAGAAAATCAATATTTCGCTTGTATATCTGATGAAAAAGTCTTTGAACAGCATAGTGTTCAAGTCTTCAAAAATGGGAGAAGGTAAGCTTAAAACACATAATGAATATACTACTAATGAGTAAAAATGATCTCATTGAACCCCCAAAACTTCCATACTAACTTAACTAACTTTACTATGACAATGAATAGGGATGTTCCAGCACTAATCCCGTAGAAACATGGCAGTTTCTTCATAAATAGAATTTCCTTAAGTGCATTGCAAGGCCACAAACCATGGTTGTCTGGTATGTTGTTTACAATCAAGTTAGGGAAGAAAAAGGGACAAAACAGCAATTCCCTGAACCCCAGCTTGTCTGATGAACACAGTAAATTACAAAAGATTTTACATCCCTCCTATGATCACTGATGGAAAATATAAATATGGGCTTAAATGAACAATTTAGCCACAATATAAAAAAACAGGAGACAAAAAAAGAGCCAAAAAATCAGTAGCAATTTCATACTTGTGCAATATGTATAGCTCATTATCAGCTTTGTCTCTGGAAGAAAAGATTCACACGTCCTCTAGATACTTTTGTTCACCAAGACTGCATATGAAAGTAGCTCTTAATTAAGAAATGGTTTCAAAAGCATACCTTAAAACCAATCCCAAATCTGCCAATATGATCAGGATCATCAGCCTCAGGTTGCTTATGCCCAAAAGAAATCATTCTCACAATCTCCTGATGAGTCATCCCATGGCCATCATCTATTATTGACAGCATTGGAATGTCTTTGCCGGCTGGTTTGTAATACACCATTTCCATAGAAATTTGCAATCTATAGCCACATGAGACAAGAACAAGAAGTCTTATCAGCATAACAACAGACTGAAATATCTATACATCACAACAGGATAAATCTAAAGTTACGACAAAATACAAGAGAAAGATTTCCTGTACAATAAGAAAATAAATTACAATAGAACAAGTTACCGACTTGGTTGCTTTGGCATCTCTGGAATTGTCAACAAACTCAGCAATTGCACCAAAAATCCAGCTGGAATGAACTTGACCAAGGGTTTTCAAATAACTGGGATCTACTTGCACATAATTTCTACCCAAGGAACCATGGGGATCCACTACATTTTCAGGTTTACTGCTAACTTTAACCTTATATTGAGCTTGGCATCCATCAGCATCCGAAAGCTTATTCTCGGGAGATATACTATCCTCAATACAGTTAGAGATTGATACAGCATCCTCACCCAACGAAGATTCAAATCTACTTTGCATGCAACCTTTTGCTGATTGCACAACTCTATGTGGTTTAGCATTCAAAAGAATATTTTTTTGCTCGGACAAGATCCCAGCTGCAATTATGTGAATCCAAGCACAATAAACAAAACTAGCTTAATTACATTTCAAAAGATCACTTAAGCAGGCAAGAGAAGAACAAAGCACATCAAAGATAATTTCAGCATGCTGCTTGCCCCAAGAACAAACAGCAATCAGATAATTGCAGCACAAAAATAATAACACAGAAGCCATATGAAACAAATGCCATACAAACTACAGAGAAGGGAACAAAGCACATCAAAGGTAAGCAACATCCTTGCCCAAAGAGGTGTAGGAGTAACTCACCCAGTCTCTCTTGTTTTAGACAGTCCTGTAAACAATTCCTTCTCTCCTCCTTGTATAAAACGCGGACATGGCTTAAGTCTGAGCCTTCACAGGGAGGAATTATGTAGAATTCAAAGCTATCGAGCTTTCCTACAGCAACCTTCAAAATCATTCCAGAAGCAAATTAGGGACACAAAAGAGTGCACTATCTTACTAATTAAGCAAATAAAAATATAGAGTAAATATATAGTGCAATACAAAAATAACTCATTCACATTATTTTGTTGAAACAAATTTGGTTCTTAGTTTATTTATGGGGAACATTCCAGGTTTCTCATAAACTCTCCTGCATAATATTGTTTATCTATTTTCTTCTTGTCTCACCATGTCAGTTATCCTTACAAAACACCACCATGCTAAACAAATAAATATCCCTGTGTCTTCCTTCCCACATACATTTCAATTAACTCGAAGCAAAGCAAAAAGCATCTTGTCTAAAGGCAGGAAGCAAATTTTACAATTAATAAAGCTAACCATGTCTTGACAGTTAGACTTAAAGGGCAGATGGAACATTAGAAAAAAAATGGAACATGAAGACACAGAAAAACAATTGCATGGTGATTATGAATGGATATTCACATAGTCAACTCTCATGTTCTGCAACTACGAGCTTTTCTCAATTACCTAGACCTATGGAGGGAATGAAAAGATCGTCTAAAGATACTTAAACATTTGAGAACACTGAAGCTCTCCTCTCTTTTGGAAAAGTTAAGGCCAGGCTAACTTAAAGGATCAGTTAAACAAACAATAGAAGAAAATGCCAAGACTTTCCAGTAGCATATTATACCTTTTTATATGTCTGAAGAAAATTCAAGAACCTAACCCACTCTATTTCCTGTTGAGAGTTTTCAGAGGCGCGATACAAGCTGCAACAAGGTAACCCATGAGGAATATGAGCTTTTTCTGGCCTAATTATGTGTGATATGCTCCAATAAGTAGGCCTGTTAAAATCATAGATAACAGGTGTCAAAATCTGCAACTGGTGGTTAATAACTTCCACAGAGAAACAGCACATAGAAAACTGAGACCCTTGTATACTTCAAAAAGCTAAAGAAACAAAATCAATTGGAGAAATAAGAGCTCTGGCAGTAGATTATCTCAGTGGATAATGCATTCAAGAAACCAAAAGACATTCATGACAAAAGAACACAAATGCATCCTCCCTTTCCAGTTTTTTACTCGGAAGGAAATAAAGTTCCTGTCTCAACTGATTGGTTGATAATCTCAACATATTAATTAGTTGCCACAAATAGACAGAAACACTTCCCTGTTTTTTATAAGCATTCTTTGGACAAAAGTTGGTACAAACAATTAGAACACAACCAAATGCATGTCAATCTTGGTTCTGAGAGGAACAAGATCATGCAAGTAGCATACTGTACAAGACCAGTAGATATATTGTCAAGAAAGGCATGCATACATCTTGGAAGGAGGACTGAAGCATTGTGTCCGACAGATGGGTTTATGATCCTTTGTCAGCAGAACATAGCAATTAATATCACCTGCAAGAGTTTGTCAGCATATTGGATTCAAAGAGGGGTGAAGAGCAGCAACAGATATTCAATATCTACTGGGATCAATCACAAAAAGATATTAGATCCAAAATTGACTAACAAAATAAAAGTTACTTTCCCGGAAAAACTCAATGAAACTCAAGGCCTACCTTACCTTTCATGTTTAAAAAGTATTACTTAGAAAGAAGTTCAACCTACACTTTCAGAATGGATGTCTCAAAAGTCCAGCAATCATACACGAAGAAGTCTCACTTTCAATAATTAAAGAGAAATTACCTATACTAGTTTCCATTTCAGAATTGATAAGCTTTCAAAATTTAGATATTCTATGAGAAAGACATTGTTAAGGATAAATCCCAAACAAATAGGTGCAAATTTATGGCGTAACTTTTTTTTTCTTTCGATTTATGTAGATGCTAGGATATACTAATGTTTCTAGTACTTAAAGCACCATTGCCACAAAAAGTAAACTCTCCACCACAAAAAAAAAAGTAAAAGAAAACAAATTCTAGTATCAGGTAATGAGTATCCTTCGAAATTCTTTAGTAAAAGTATGAGATATATATGCTAAAATGATTCTTGGGATTTAATGATCCTAAAAGCATAAAAATTAAGACTTAATAATTGTTTTCCCTACTTATTTTTGTTTTTCTCATCAATGAGGTCAATTATAAACTGTTGACTTCACCAGAAAAACAACTGGTTTCATAGAGGATTTACTTTTACCACAAAAAAATGTAATTTCTGTTTCTGTAAATGTAATGACTAACAGTGCTACTAACTAGAATGGATCCAAACAAAAGGCTCTCCCATAAAGTTCAATAACATTCCTGAAGTTGATATTCTAGACTCTGTTAAGCATGGTCAAGGATGAATTATTCACAACATCATACATATGAAATCTGTTTTGTTCTCATGTTCAGCAACTATAGCAGTATTATTTAGTGGTCTTTCAAGATTCCATTAATGGTTTTTCATATGTATCTTTGTTTGTACCACATGCCTTTAATTTTCTGGAAAGACAAGTGCATTCCCTCATCCCCAATTTGATTCCATATAAATACCTCTCTCCTGAAGATAGAAAGCTCCCCCCCATAAATGATTACTTTAGCAATTATGTGAATGAAATACTTACCTTATGTTGCCTTATCGAATCATATGTAAGGATTATTCAACATAAACAAGTTAATTACTCTTGCAATCTATTGAAGCCAAGTAATTTTTTAGTTTTAATCCATGTTCATCAGCTTTTATTATAGCATGTTTTTTGGCAGTTATGATCATATTTCATAACCAAAGGTTACAAAATAAATGTCATTGCTTGCACTCCTGTTGAAGAAAAAACAAAACTCCAAAAAGAAACTACAACACAAAATAAAAGCAACCATTACCAATAAAAATAGAAAGATCATTCGATGAGCATCACTTGAAGAAAGGGGTGGTGAAAACTGACCCCAATCAGCTTCTTCATTTGAGTGAGGGAAACTTGAAATATCAAAAACAAAATTAAAAATAAATTAAGATAAAACACTTGATTCTTAATGACTAGACTACGTGTTGCTTTCTATGATATATATCCCAAACTTCCTTCACCTTTGTTATGCCACTGGATACCTAAATATTTCAAAGAAACTACATACCAAAGTGCCTATCTCATAGCCAATGCATTTTTAGCAGTCTAATTCATATTTTGATAAATGACAACTCCTCATTTTGCTAATGAAGCAGAATCAACTCATATTGGTAGCTTTTCCATAAAAGTGCAAGAATGCAAAGCATACCTTCATTTGCCAGCTCATTCTTTAAGCAAAAATCTCCCATTGTTAAAACCTGCTTCAAGCAATGAACATGTCATGGTTAGAGACATTCAAGTTGAGAGAAACAATTTGCAAACACACTTTCTTAGATGTCATCACTCTTCCCTATCTTCATATAACAGACCAATTTGCAACAGCCCAGTGATAAACCAATAACTCTAAATTGACTAATTACCGTCGCATGCATTATTAAAGTGCAAAATATGAACAGATACAAAGAGAAGTTAAATCAAACAGATTTAGAAAAGCAACTAGCAGAGAGTCCTACACTACAAACTCCAACAACTCCCCAACCCCCCCCCCCAGCCGGGGTGTGTTTGGGGGGGGGGCATTTCAAAGATCAACCCATTGCAATTTTGAGAGGTATTTACGATCATCTTTGAGTTTGATCCAAAGGTCTCGTCAAACTCTGAAAACACATGACTACTCGAAGTTGAAGCAGAAAGAGATGAAAACCATCAAGAAAGGCAACCAATGCCAACGAGCAGGGCTATGTTCTGCATTTCCTTGTACGAATGAAACTTTGAACTAGAGGAGAAACAGCATAAACCAACAAAGAAAAGCAAAACCCAAACATTTTTACAATGGAGCATCAATTATAACCCGTGATCCTCTAACCCACAACTGCCCTGAAGCTCATTTTAACACTCACCAGAAACCTTTGCTTTAGCGCCCTTTTTTTTTAGCACTTACCTATCACTTCTCTAAAACTGCATCAACAAGGTTAACCCAAAAAAGCATATTTACACTTCCAAGGATGAATTTTCTCAAGAAATTTAGAAATTAAAGTTTTCGTTCAATAATAGCAATACCAAAAAAATAATTTAAAAAAATATAACACAATAAGTCATGAGACCTGCATTTCAGCAAAGAAAAGCAAGCAAAACTTACTTATTTCTACAAAAAAAAAAAAAAAAAAAACACTTGCTTATGCTAGTAATACACGGACAATAAAATAATAGTATTGTGAGAGTCCAGTACGTTGCTGGTACCACTACTAAGCCTATTGGGATGGAGAACAGACAATAATGTTACTACTATAAATAGATAAGAAGGGTTAAAAAAGCAATAAGATCGGGAAAAAAAAAGGTAAAAGCGAGGAAAAAGTACAAAACCAGCAAAAACTAAGACGAAGACGAAGAATAGAAAAAATCGTTTCGCCCCAAAAAAAAAAAAAAGGAAAGAGTTGATACTTGAGTAAATAGAAACCCTAGACCCATCTTTGAACCTTAAAGGGTTAAAACCCGAGATAGGAAAAATAATCAATATTAAGCAGTAGCAGGCTAGCAGTGACTAAAAGTGCTTTGCATGCGTTCGTCGACCACACACGTTCATAAACGGAATGTCGCAACCAAAATGGGTAAAGAAGAAGATGGGAGAAGGTTATTACAGCAGCGACTTTGCCTTTGATCACGGCGACCAGCAACGGCGATAGGCGGAGAAGCCGGGATGGCGAGGAGTCGGATAGAGTAAAGAGTGTGGAAACTAGAGTGAGAGAGAGAGAGAGAGAGAAGAAAACGGGGATTGGAAAGCTTTTTGGACTTTCCACTGACATGCAGCTATGCAAGTCGGCTCCACAACAACAACTCGCGTAAAACAAAACGAAGGAAGAGAACTAATGCGACGTTTATGGGTTGGGTTGGCACAATGAACTCTTTTTATTATATTGCTATTTCTCATTCGTAAACATCGTGTTCTAATTTTTTTTTACTTCTTTAACATCTAATAACTATTAATTCAATAATACACAAAATTTAACATACTCAAAAAATCAAAATACATAAAAAATGAGATTTTTTATAAATTTTCTGCTATATTTTTTAATTTTCTATTATATATTACTTTTTTTAAGCTATTATATTTATTTTTTATTGAATTAATAGTTATTGGATCTTAAGAAAGCAAAAAAGAATTAAAACATGATGTTTATGAATGAGAAATAGCAATATAATAAAAAGTGACACAGAGAGTGACACAGGATGTGGGACAGAAGATCCGTTGCGAGTGAGTAGAGACCGAGACGGTAATTTGCGATCTGCAAATTTGAAGTTATTAATTAATTGAAAAAAGTGTCTTGCGTGCATTGTCACGATAATAATTATGGTTATAAAATTAAAATTACTATTGAAAAGTGTTTAGATGCAATGACAAACGAATATGGACGTGTGCGTGGTAAATTAAGTCTAATTTAGATGTCATGTACCCTTTAAATAATAGTACTTTACTTAATAATAGTGGGATTTATCTCATGGAAAAATAGTAAGCGTTCATAGTTTATTTGAACACGTACCACTGTAATATAAATTGTATAATAAAATAAACAGTTTGTCTAAAGGGTGGTGCTATTGGCACTTGGGGTTCAATCTTAGGTTTTTTGAAAAGTATATATAGTTAACTTCACAGATTATCAAAATGACCCAAAACAAAAGGGATGCAATAATTGTTATGCTACTATATGTATTCACGTTAGTTGTAATTTAAATATATTAACGAATGTCTAAAATAAACAACACAAAATACAATTAAGTAGTTTTTGTTTTTATTGAAGAAGACTTCATGTCTTACAAAATGAAAGGGAAACAATTGTTATGTGACTTATGCTCTAATTAGTTGATCTTGGAAACTTATGAATTATAACGCGAAAAATATAATAGTCCCTTTTCCACATAATTTATTAGTGCTGATAGACTATGAGGGGGTTTATTTTTTTTTCTCCCTCGTTATTTTTTTTTTTTTTTTTGGAAAATTGAGCTGCAATGCATTATTCATAAGACAACTTGCTATAGTCGCACATAGATTTTGTTGATTTTTAGTCGCTGATTATGAAATTATATGCACTGTTCAACAACACACACAAATTGAAACAGAAACACTAAGGAGGTAATTAAAAAAAATTACTATTGATTCTCTAGGGAAAAAAAAACTGAAACAATAATTTGTCATGGAACCTCAATCTTGGTTGTGTGAGTTCTCTACACTTTCCATTCTTTTTTCATTATTGACGATTTAAGTGGTTTAATAAAATTGGAGTTTATAAACTAAAATCTGAAATTTGAAATTTGAATCTATTAAATTATTGAATTATTAAGTATTAAATCTAGTACATTTGAGTGTATATCACATTCAATGTGAAGTGAATAGTTTATCACTTAATTTTGGGAATAAATTTTGTCTACAAAATTCAGCACCACTTAATTAATTCAAATGTTCAATTTTTGATTATCAAACGATCTGAATATATTAAGATTTGAATCCATTAAATTTAAGTGTTGAATTGGATTATCAAATATAGCACGAGGAAATATATAAAAGTTTCCATGTTTCGTCTTTTTATTTTTGGCCTTTTATGAGTTTCAAGAAAGAAAATAATGTATAAAAAAAAAGTTAAAAAGTTCCATGGCATTACATGATTTAAAATGTTTATAGTTAATTGGTGAACGAAAATAAGAAGATTTAAACCTTATCTCAAATGAGTGAATGAGACATGCAATTTGCTAACGCAATGTTATCCATTCTTTATTAAAATAGCGAGGAGTATTTTCAATGATTCTAGCATGAAAGAAGTTAAAATTTTATTAAGTATTACATGATTTAAAATATTTTTGCCTTATGAGACCACCAATAAAAAAGCAAAAAAATGTTCAATATGAAAACAAAAAGTAATATTTACTCTCTCATGTTTGTTAATAACACCAAACTTCTATCATCATGATATTTTTGTATCCACAATTACTGCATTGTTCTTAAAGTTCAAAGTCAAAGAGATGTGCTAGTAATAATATAATATATAAGTGCCTATACTAGCATTTCATTGTAGATATAAACAATTTTAAGTTCTCAACTCGAAAAAAAAGAGAGAGAGAGAGATTAATTTCGAAACCCGGTTGAACCAAGGGAACCAGCCTCCTCGATAAACCCTGCACTAGCAGTTGTACCTTTGCAACCCCTCAAACTAGTAATAGGGTTTAAGCTTCTGAAGCCTGCCATTTCCTGTTCTTCTTCTGTATCTTCTTCTTCAATTGGGATGGAGATAGATTTGGGAAAGCTTCCGTTTGACCTGGATTTTCATCCTTCCCACCAGCTCGTCGCCGCTGGACTCATTTCGGGAGACCTGCTCCTGTATGTTCTATTCTATTAACACGCCTCTTTATTTTTCTGTTTATTAAAATCGTTCAAACTCTAAAATTTCTAATGAAATTGATGGCTTATTGTTGCAGATATCGGTATGCTGCTGATTCTACACCACAAAGGTAAAAGGATGAAAAAAAAGGAAAAGAATTGAAGTTTCAGTTATTGTGCATATAAATAGGCTCACCTGTACATCCATAATTTCCTGCTATTTTTTGCTTAATTTAAATATAGGCAGTTGAAAGTTGGTGCTCACACTGAATCATGTCGAGCTGTCCGCTTTATCAATGAGGGTCGTGGTAATTATGTTAATGTGCTTCTGCATAAGCTATTTGTCTAAAGCTATCTTTTATTCCTGTTTGATTATGATGGTTGTCAATTAGGTTTCTCCTAATCAAAAGTTGTTTTTTTTTTTGTTTTAGCCATTGTGACGGGTTCCCCAGATTGTTCTATTCTTGCAACAGATGTTGAAACTGGATCAGCAATTGCTCGTCTAGAGAATTCTCATGGGTAGGTATTATAGCCGACCATATTTTGTAAGATTAAAGCTAAGTTCACCTTTTGTTTGGTATGGATATGGTAATAGGGCGTTGCCGGGGCCTGTGAATCTCAGCTTGATTAGCTAGTTGATTATTAAAAGCATTATGCAGTTTTCAATGTTTGCTTTCAAGTTTCAGTCACATTGATTTTTGAGGCTAGAAATTTGTGTTTAACTGCAGGGCTGCTGTGAATAGGATAGTCAATCTGACAGAATCAACCGTTGCATCCGGAGATGATGATGGTTGTGTTAAGGTGAATTTCAACTACTAAAAGTTGTATAAACTTCCATATTCAAACAATATAATTAAAAAAGTTCAGTTTGCTAAACACATCAGCGTGAACAGCTAGCATTCTCTTTATTTTTGTATTTTTCTTCTCTTTACTATTTTTTTTTCTGACGGGAGCTTCTCAACTGAATTTTAGTAATTAATGCTTAATTTGAGATGCTCTTTGTTTATGCATAACTTCTGCATCCAGTAAAACTTGTTTGGGAGTGCAATTGCTTTTCTAGGAGCATTTGCTTTGAGTTTAAAATGTCTTTTTAAAGTTTTTGCTTACAATTCCTTTGCAATTCAATTAGTTGTTGTTTTCTATAAAAATTTCCTTTGAAGCCTAATTTTGTTGCTTTTGGATTTGAGAGGTACTTTACAAAAAATAACCACACTCCCAGACTGGCAACTGGTGACTAACAATTAGATGTTGTTTATGGTGCACTACTGGTGACTAACAATTAGATGTTGTTTATGGTGCACTACGACCCACAGCATTTAATGACCTTTCTCAAGTTTTTAATCTTGCTTAATTTACTTTTGCAATTTATAGAAGTTTCGTATATTTATTTCCTGAATTTTGGCGATCACTAATATACACAGGTATGGGACACCAGACAACGGTCTTGCTGCAATTCTTTTGAGGCTCATGAAGAATATATTTCAGATATGACATTTGCCTCTGATTCTATGAAACTCTTAGCGACAAGGTACAAAGTGAAATTGGCTTATTGATCTTTTAGGAAATTGATTTAGATTCATGGACTAGCTGAGTGATTTTAAATCAAAGTCGTAGTAGTATGGGCTGTTCTAAAATTAACTTTGACTACCACCTGTAATGTTGGTACTGTCAAACGGGAACACTTGCATCCTTACATGTTATTATAGTATCACATATGTGTCTATTTCTTAATTCTTCACGAGGATTTAAAGGAAAGTTATTTGTCAGAAATTGTTTTGTTTCAACTTTATCCTAGAATGATACCTAAATTTCTATTTTCTCCCCTGTTTTTATGGCGTTGTTACCTTTTTCTTCATTTGTAATGCAGTGGTGATGGAACTTTATCAGTTTGCAATCTCCGAAGCAACAAGGTAGTTTTTTTGGCTGTTGGTTTTGCTCGATTGTTTTTAATGCTTATGGTATGCTAAAAACTGACATCAGTTGTCTTCTGCATTGTAGATTCAAACTCAATCAGAGTTTTCTGAAGACGAATTGCTGTCTGTGGTGATTATGAAGGTAGAGCTTGTCTTGTTGACAAGATTTCTGACTTTTTTTATTGGGTTGAAAGCCCCATCTCTGTGTTTCAGTACTGACATGCTTGTCACCATTAGGGAATCAGAATTATCTATCTCACTAGTTTTTCTTTCGCAACAGAACCTGAGCGCATTTTTATTTGTAAATGTGTATGACCTTGTAACCATGCTATTGCAGACTGTACTCTTATTTAAGAAATGTGCCTCCAGATTGCTGCTATTTCAATGAAATTTGAGGGCTATGGTTGCCTCTAGGCTCTGTTGCTTGTGCTTTGCTTTGCAAGTTTACATTTAGTCTCCTTTATAGTTATTGAATCTTTCAAAACTAAGACTGAACTGAACGTGGTCTGGTGACAAGCCTGCAGAAAACGGATA